CTGCAAAACTGTCTTTTGTAGGGGAAATTTACACCTGCAGAGAATCTGCATTAATCTAGCCTTACCTTATCAGGATTGAGAAATAAAAATAAGCCCTAGGCCCTACAACCAACTGAACGGACTCTCTTGGCTGACAGGACTGCAGAGAATCCTTGAAAGCTGTTTCTAGCTGTGGCAGGCTAGGAGGTCGCACATGCCCCCTTAACACCCCTCCCTCACTAACTGCCATTATGAGGCAGGAGAACAGCAGAGGGAATTGGAAGTTGTATAAAAGGCAGAATGAGTAAAAGCAGAAACAGAAGCAAGGTGATGGGGTGGGAGAGCAAGAAGCAGGATAAAAGGCAGAAGTTGAGCAGCCAAAACAAAAAGTAAGATTAAAGAAAGCAAGCAAGCCCGGGCTCGGTGGCTCAAGCCCGTAATCCTAGCACTTTGAGAGGCCAAGGCAGGCAGATCACCTGAGGTCAAGAGTTTGAGACCAGACTGGAAAACATGGCAAAACCCCATCTCTACCAAAAATACAAAAAATTAGTTGGACATGGTGGAGCACTCCTGTACTCCCAACTACTTGGGGTTCAAGGAGCATCGCTTGAACCTCGGAGGCAGAGGTTGCAGTGAGCTGAGGTTGCGCCACTGCACTCCAGACTGGGCAACAGGGAAAGACTCTGTCTCAACAAACAAACCAACCAGAAAAAAAACAGCAAGCAAGGACCCCATGGCCAGCAAATTCCAAACCAGTAAAGGGGCAGCTCCTGAGAGTTAGGCATTGAGAAAAAAGTATCCTTAACATGACTCCATATGATAATCAGCTCATTACAACTCATGCATATGGACTGCATCTCATGCATGTACTTAAAAGTATGGGATGGAGGCAACCTGCAAGCACACAAGGGCCAAAGTAACTAAGCAACCCACCTATCAATCAAAAGACAAACACTGGCCTACGATTGGGCATCCCTGTGAAGAGAAGAAAAACAACCACATATAAAAAGACCCAGAGTACACCAAACTCATACGGATCTCATCTCCCAGAAGCCAGCCCACTCTCCCTACTCTGAGAGGGTTACTGTGCTTAATAAATTTTTGCTTTGCTTTGCTGCTTTATGTGTGTCACGTACAGTTCTTTCTTTGGGACACCAAGAGCCTGGAAATGCACGGCACCATCTGGTAAGAATTAGGATGTTTTTCCTAAGGGTAAACAAACCAAGCCTTTGAAAAGACTTGCTTCACTACTGTTATCAACCAACAGCCTGATGCTTTCCCTCCCTTCGTGGTTTTGACAAAACAAGCAAGCAGCATTCCCTCCTAAGAGACTGTCGACCTAGGAATGATTCTGGCTAGACTACAGAGATGTACAGTGAGGGTTTTCATGTCCTCTGCTTCAGCTTTTGACGTCAGAGAGCCACAAACTCCACTCTCAGATGATTGCTAATGCCACCATTTTATGAACATGGGCCCCACGGAGAGGCACGAAGCTCAACTGCACATCTGCACATTGTTCCTCTTATAAATATTCATATTGGGATATGATTTGGTGCTGCTACCCTGAAAGATGCATTTGCAGAATGGACTCAAATTAGAAGCATTGTAAGCACTATAATGTAGCAATGGCGCACCCAGCTCTCTACACTATAGAAAGATCTGTGGTGTAGACATTTCCACAATGACACAAGATATGTGTACAAGAATGGTGACTGCAGCGTTCTTTGTAATCCTAAAACCCCCGCACGTAGAGCGTAGAGGGCATCTGGTGGGACAAAGGCTGTCGTAAGGGCCAATCATCAGACAGAAAGCCAATCACTGAGATGATTCTCGCTAATAGGCAGGGCTTTAATAGGGTGCTGTAGTCGGGAGAGATGAGAACTCAGTTTCAAATCCATCTCCCTGGCCAACCAAACCAGAGGTTTAGATGGCAGGGAAGAAAATGTAACAATGTGTACGAAACAGGAACTAGATGGAGTAAGGAAGCAATCATGATGAAGGAGGGAACCCAGCATCTCATTGTCTGATAAATTTCCAGTTCTTTGATAGCTTTGAGAGGCTGCCTGAGGAAGGAACTCCAGATAAATAAATTATTAAGTTTCAAGCTTTAAGACCAGAAAGATCCATTCCTAGGGTTTACCCAAAAAGCTACATATGGGACTATTATGGTTTTCAGACCAAGAAAGAAAAAGATTATGCAGACTCAAAGTCTGAAGTTAACCAAAAAAAAAAAAAAATACATAATTTTCTGACTAATAGATGTATGGGGCCAGAGAATGACCACGCTATGTAAGAACTGTTTTTTTGTCCTGAGCATAGGGGAATGATGAAGTTGCATCAATTAAGATGGAATTAAGCTACAGATGGGGAAAAAATCTGGATTTTGGTTCAGAGTCCTGAGGTCTTCTCTCAAAAGTCTTTCCTTGAAAGAGGAACCCTGTCTTGGTTTCTGCATCTCTCTGAGTCCTTTCGGAGGTTGGGGATGCCGAGGTCTTGGTGCTTGGCCCCTCTAACCCTCTGAGTACCCTCCGCAGGGCAACCTGGCCCAGTACCCAGGCCCCAGCTCTGGGTGACCATCTGATTTTGCTCCTAGAAAAGGTCATTTCTAGGTCAGTTGTGAGGTACAGGCAGGACGTGGGGCAACTTGTTCTGAGATTTTTAGCCCTGAAGGCTTGGGGCCCTGTGTTCCTGCAGAACTGCCTGTCTCCCTCTTGGAGAAAGCAGGGAGGAAATGACCTGTGTGGAGGGAATTGAGGGCTGCACCTGCATGGAGGAGCTGAGGCAAGCAGGGCAGTTCCGGTCTGTCAATATAAAGGACGTTTGTCATCCAAGAGGCTGTTGTTATTAATTTTGAATTTTGTCAATACAAACTGAAGGGAAGTTTGTCTTCTTGCTTGTAGGAACTCTCACAAGACCTCCTATCTTCTATTCCAGGAGAATTGCTGTGTATTACAGGAACAGAGTAGGTGAGACTGCTGTTCTGACTCAGCAGGCCTCACATCGTGCAGGGGCACCAGAGCACCAGCAAAGCCCTTCCCATACAAAGAGCAAGCGTAGCATGTCTATAACCCAAGGGCACCAGTTCCAAGTACAATTTCTACTTTGGCTCTCATGAGCTGAGTACATGTTCCCCCAGCACAGAAATTCCACAACCCCAGGAACAAGCAGTGAAAGCAGGCTGGCCAGGAAGGGATGGATAATACCGCCACTGCAGCACTTTAGAAGGCTGAGGTAGGACAGACTATTTGAGTCCAGGAGTTGAGATCAACTCTGGGCAACATGGTGAAACTTCAACTCTGCAGAAAAACAAAACCACCACCACAACAACAGAAACAAGAACAGAAATGTGATCGGTGACTCATGCCTCTGCTACTCCTGGGAGGCTGAGGTGGGAGGGATCGCTTGAAGCAAGATGCCACTAGATACAGTGAGACTCTGTCTCAGGGAAAAGACAAACAAACAAAAAGAGGCTGCAGGAGGTGATCTGGGACAGCAGAAAACACTAAGGTTTTCTATGGGTGTTGTGCCAGTAGGCCTTGGGGACCATTGAGCACCCATACAGGGAAGCTCAGATCCCCGAGCTCCGCCTGCCAACAGCACTGCAGCTAACATGAGAGCCGGAAATGCATTTCCACCCTAGACTGTGAAGTCCTTTATAATACTTTAATTCACGTTTCGTGAAGTGTATGCACAACGGTAGGCTCCCCTCTTCCTGTGGGTTTGGGTTTCACCTGGAAAGGGGCTGTCAGAACAGAAGTTTCAGAGAAGGGGCCAGAGCCCTGGGGGCTTTCCTCAGGTGATGGTGACGGAAGAAGAGGCACGGCAGGACAGCAAGGTTCAGGTAAGAAAGACTATGCAGGTGCAGAGGGCAGGAGGAAAAGGAGCAGTTGGAGGCGAAAGAGACAAAGTCTCCTCAGTATTTCTCAATTCAGAAAACGTGTCAGTTTACCTCCTTCAGCTTGCTTCCTCTAATGGAGATAATTTTCTCAGTTCTTTTAGAAATTTTAGAAATTTAGAAATTTCTAGGTCTCATTGGAAGTAAGTCTCCCATTTAATTTGTCTGGTTCTAAAACCAAATTTGTCTTTTTTTTTTTTTCTTTGAGACAGGGTCTCACTATG